CAAACAGATGGAGAACATAAAGGCATAAGCAGGCATTTGTATGGAAAAGAAGCCATCGATTTGTAGCGAGAGACTCAATAGTGATCGTTACAGCCTTTAACAGAAATGTGTGCTTTTTTTTTTTTTTTTTTTTTTTTTTTTTTTTTCCCACGCGCTGAGCTCGGGGCGGCTCGGGGTGAGCGGGCCGAGGGGAGCGCAGCCCGGCCCGGGTCCGGCCGCGGCGGCTGCCCCGGCCCCCCCGGCCCCGGCCCCGGTCCCGGCCCCGGCCCCGGCCCCGCGCGGTGCGGGCGCTGCGTGGCGGTGCCGCCCGCCCCAGTGGCGGCGCGGCGTGTCCGGGCGGCCCGTGGCAGCGCCCCGCGGCAGATGAGGCACGCGCCGGCCTCATTACAATGAGAATGGGCAGGCTGGAGGGGCCATGTGGCAGCAACAGTTTGCAAATCCCCCCTCCTTCTGTGCGAATCGGGAAACATTTCCAAACATTTGTACCCCAAATCGACCACATTAACACCCCTCGGAGCGGCGCTCCCTGGAGGGATGCTCCACGCTACGGGCATTTAGGCAGAAACAAAACAAGCAAGGGAGATTTTTTTTTTTCCTCTTCTTTTCTCTCTTTTTTTCTCTTTCTCTTTTTTCTTAGAGGCTCTCGGTGTGTGCCAGCGCTGAATCGATGCGCAACTTTCTAGCTAAGGGGTTTTAAAGCCATCGGGGAATGCGACTTAAAAAGTGGGGCTGTGCACATGGAAGGGCGAGTCTCTGACTGAGGGATCAAAAAGGCGAGCAGCGAGGCCAGCCCCGAAACAAACGGCAGACCCAGAAAACAGGAACGCTCCCAGGAAAGGTGCACGAGCTGCATAATAAAATACCGCACTCTTACAGGCGCTGAGGATGCTGCACTGACCGACAAAAGCGCTACGATAAATCTGACCAAGCGCGGGGCAGCCCGCAGGGCTCTAGAATTTCGACGGGTTTCTGGGTGCCCTGCAGCCTACGGCCCTGGGGGGAAAAGGATTCGGCTCCTGGGGAAAGGCGACTGCAGGGCTCGAAGGCGCTAGTGCGCTGCTCCCCCCTCTCCGAGCCCCGCGATCCGCTTCCAAATCAGTGCGAAGAAGGGGAGGCAGGTGAACAGCGGCTGGGGGAGGGGCGTGAGCAGCCGTGCACCCCGGGCATCTGCATCGCTCCTGGGCACAGGGAATGTCCAGGGGTTCGTCCCCCAGATTAGGGGGAAGGGGAAGATGCAGGGTGCCCCCAGCCAAGCTTGGCCCGGCCGAGAATCCCGGCCAGCCTGGTTGAGGCTTCATGCTGTCTTAAGGGACAGCCTGGGACACCTGGGACACAGGAAAGGCTGTGCCCAGCTTGTAGCGCTGCAGGGGGTTGTTGTGGCCAAAGTGCAGGACCCGGCACTTGGCCTTGTTGAACTTCATCCCATTGGAGTCAGCCCATCTCTCCAGTCTATCCAGATCCCTCTGCAGAGCCCTCCTGCCTTCCGGCAGGTCGACACTCCCTCCCAACTTGGTGTCATCTGCAAATTTGCTGATGATGGACTCAATCCCCTCATCTAAATCATCGATAAAGATGTTAAACAGGACTGGTCCCAGCACTGATCCCTGGGGAACACCACTGGTGACCGGCCGCCAGCTGGATGCAGCCCCGTTCACCAGCACTCTCTGGGCCTGGCCCTCCAGCCAGTTCCTGACCCAGCACAGAGTGCCCCTTCCAAAAACCCCGGGCGGCATGACGGTGCAGCCGTAGCATCAGACAGGTCCTGCCCCAGCGGCAGGTACCGGTGCTCCATAACTGCAGGACCTCAAAAGCAGCCCAGCAGAAGCCATGTAGAAAGCTCACGGTGGCTGCGACATTACCGGGAGCTGCTTAAGGCCGCGGGTCGGGCGGGCAGATTCTTAAAAGGACAGAGCCTTCAGAAAGAGGAAAAAGTGGGACTGATGGCGGGAGGCGCGATGCAGTCGCTCCTGGCTGCGACTGTGTGGGAGATACTGAGCCCTTCGCAGCCCCTTTTCCTGGGGTCTGGCAACCTGAAAGCAACAGGGCACGGGTGGCCGTCGAGGTGCTCGGGCACATCCCAGGAACGGAGGAGGGCAGCCTGGCACGAGGGCTCGGGGTGGGGGGAGGGATGATTTGGGCAGGCTAGCAACTTTCACCCGCCCGGAATTAATTAACGTTGTCTCGTTAGCGAGATGCGTTTGGCCCGGCCACGCGTATGCTGAGCTGGGCCAGCCTGGAGATAAACCGGCAGCAAATGAGGCGCGAAAGAGAGGGGGAACGCGCCCTGACCTCGAGGAAGTGAGCTGGAGAGATAGGGAGCAGGGTGGAAAGGACGGGGAGACGGCGACCACTGGGCAGGTCCAGTCCGATCAGTGCCCAGCATCCCGACAGGGACTGCGGGCAACCCGCTGCCGTCCCTTGGCAAAGCCGGGGGCTCCGCGGGCTCCCCCCCCGTCCCGAGGACAAGAGCCTCTCAAACTGAGCCGAGGATCTCGGGCAAGGTGGATGCGCTGTGCCTCTCCAAGAGACCCAGGACGGCGTGTTGGCCATAGGAAAGAGTTTGCGGGACTTGCACTTCTAGTCTGCTCTCGGTCGACTTTCAGACTCAGCTGTTTGATACTATTAATGCAACTTTTTTTCTTTGTCTGAACTCCCTGTGCGTGTATGTGAACATGCAGCAGGTGGTTTATTATATTCCCTGGTTATTATTTTATTATTTTATTATGGACTCTTTTTATAGCTGTAATCAAAATAATGGTCTGGACTATCGAGGAGGATTTTATGTCTGTTTCGCCCCACTCTCTCGAGCTTCTGAAAATATTTGTTTTGCGGGAGGGCAGCACGTGGGGAGCTGGAGCAACTTCTGCTCCTGCCGGGAACAAGCAAAGCTGGTGCAAAGCTTGACTCAGAAAACACTGGCCACCCAAGGGCAGCTGAACGGGCTGGGGAGTGCTTGGGGGGCTTACACCCCTCTTGTCAGGTTTGAGGGAATGCAGAGGAGGGAGCTCTTCTCCAGCTGCCAAGGTGCACACCGCAAGGATAGCAGAGAGGTTTGGCAGAGCTGTGAAAAGCAGAGATCAGCTTGTCTTGCTTTAACCTACATTAGCTCCGGGTCCATATGGTAGATGCTGCCTGTGGATCCTCAGCACCAAAGCAAGGCCCTATTCTTGCACGCCGCCCTGCTTGTGCCAGATGGTGCCTGGACCAAGTGGCCATGCGTGGGGTGGCTCTGGTTAGCCTAATAAACGTCCAATACAAGTCAAAAATCAAAACACACACATACTAACATCTGCTAGAGCCTGCAGTACCCAGCTAGCCTTTCAATACTGAATTAAAGAGCCCCACAGCCCTTCTGTTCCCCTAGGTTAGACACTCATTACCATTTATCAAGCACTGATGTTATCTGGCCTCTCATTTTATTTAGTACCGAAGCTATTAGCATCAGATTTGATTTTGACAGTTGACGCTGCTGCTGGTAAAGCCGGGATCTGGCCGGGTGGATCGCTGCAAAATTCCGAGTTCATCAGCGACGACACATTCCTCCTTCCCACTTGTTTACGAGGCCGAGACAAAAGAGCTCCTCGCCTGTGTCTCTGCCTTGTGGTTTATCTTCACCACGGACACGGCTCCCGTCCGCACAAACATGTACCCGAGGCGACAGCCCTGCTACTCCGGACGGAGCCAAGCCAATGGTGCCCGGCCTCGAGTGCAGCCCCCCGACATTGCCAGAGTTCGTGCCCCCCGGCTCTGGCTTTTACAGGCGCAGTGGGGACCGGGAGAAGTTTTAATCCCCTTTTGGCGGCGACCCCAATTCCTAGCCTGGTCCCAAACCAGTCCACGGCGGTGGTGCCCGTGCCCTTCCCCTGCAGAAAGCTTGGCTATTTTCCACGAAGCCGTGTCGTGCCCTCCTGGTGATACCCCGGGCGTTTGGGCCCTGACCACATCCCGGGGCGAAGCAGGTTTCCAGAGAGAGCGGACGCTTTAAATTCACCCAGGAGCAGGATGGCCTGGGAAATTTGGCTGGGGTGTGCTCTCCCCATGATGCCTCCCCTCCAAACGAGCCAGATCCCTGGATTTCTTAATCCCCCACCAAAAGAGCTCGAAGTGGGGAGGTAACGCTGCGAGAACAGACCCTTTGGGAGAGCAGAGGGGCGGAAGGGGAGCGGCAGCGCGCTGCGCCCCGCGTTGCTCCCCAGGTGACCCACGCCGCGGAGGCCCGCAGCCTGGCGCGCCGGGCGCTGGCAGAAAGGTGGCAAGACCTCATTACCATACAGCTGAGGGTTTATCTCTCCCTCCCCCCTCCGGCCTCCCATCCATTTAACAAGCTGAAATAAAAAGCCACATGAAAGGCCTTCTCTGTGCTTGGCTTTAATGAGGGACACGCGACCCAACAATAAGCGCACGCTGCAATCAGGCCAAGGGCTTTATGGCACACGCCAGACCGCAACCCGGCCGCGACCAGGCGGCCAGACACAGCCCGCGGCCCCGCTCCCGCCCCGCTTGCCTGCAGGCTCCCGAGTCTTCCCCTTGCCCATGTTTTTGAAAGCCGGGGCAGCCCCGGGAAAACTCAGCTCGGTCTCTGCTGTCAACCCCGGCCACCTCGCTGGAGCGCTCGTTCGCCACCGATTTCGGAAGAGCGACCGAGCGCCCGCCGATCCCCGCCGTGCCCGCCTCCCTACCGTCACTCGCCCCGCTCGCCCCCTTCCTCGGTGGGCTCCGTTATCCGGGGACGGGAATGGGGTCGGGCCGGCCTGCGGCACGGGCGCCCCCGAAGACGGGGGCTGCGCCCCGGGGGCGGCGGCGAGGCCGTGCCGGTGCCCGCCTGCCTGGCAAACACCGTTTTACTTTTGCTTTCTACCCGGGGCCAACCCTCGGCGGGCAGGGCAGCTCCTGCCCCTCGGCCCGGCCGCGGCTGCAGGGCGCCGCGCCGCCCCGTCCCGGGGAACGGCCGGGGGAGGGGGACACGCGTGGAGACGGGGGCAACAAACAAACAAACAAACTAACTAACTAACTAACAAGCGTGCGTTTAAAACATTTCATTCTCTATTGTTCGGCCGCCGTAGAGAGCTGCCCTGTGGAGAGGCGTCTGATTTTCGAGGGAACTCTTTCTCCCAGTGTGAGCGCCGTAAATATCTCAACAGATGCTCGGCTTGTTCGTAATCAGCTCGGCTCCTCGGCGGGCAGCGCGGCAGCGGCGGCGGCGGCGGCGGCGGCGGCAGCAGCAGGGTATTAATTCGGGATATGAGGGCTCTCCGCAACATTTGGTTCTTTTTTCCAGAAAGGAAAGATGGAAAAGGGGAGGGATCGCCCGTGAGTCTGACTGACAGTTTACATAATGAGCTTGTGAGGATGCGAGGCAACTATATAAACAGCTCAAAGCCAACCAAGTTTTCCATTTACTGAGCGCGCTGTTAGCACCGGTTAAAGGAGGAGCGGTTCCACACTAAGCACTCCCCTCCGCGTCTCTCACCAAACCCACCCGGCTCTGGAGTTTATAAAGGCGACGACAGCGATCAGAGGTCGGCGGCTGCCTGCAGGATTAATTCCCAGAAGGGGACGGATCGACACCTGGATTTTACTTTCCAATTTCTACCCGTGCTCGGGGAATATCTGGAAGAGCAGGTTGCTCTAGGAGAATCGCCGTGACGCCTCTCTTTTCTCCCTCGACCGAGAAGCGCTTGCTTGGACCATTTGAGGAATACAGAAGGGAAAACTAAACCCACTAAGAACTGAAACCTCGAATAACAAGGATGACAGCCTTGCGCATCTTTGGCTTGACGTTTCTGTTAACGATTTTGCAGCAGGTAATCGCACATCAAAAAAAAAAAAAAAAAAAAAAGGGTTCGCGAAATGTAAAGTGGGTGATGGAAGCAAGTTTGCATGGCAAAGCCGGGTAAGGTCTGATTTGGCTATTTTGTGTGTCTCCCCTTTGTGCAGAGGGTGTCCGGCTCTGGCGTCTTCCAGCTGGAGCTGCACGAATTCGTGAATAGCCACGGGTCTCTGGCCAGCGGGAAGCCCTGCTCCCCCCACTGCAGGACCTTCTTTCGCGTTTGTTTGAAGCATTTTCAGGCAGTGGTCTCCCCGGGCTCTTGCACTTTCGGCAGCATCATCACCCCAGTTCTGGGAATAAACTCCTTCAGCATCAAGGATACAGAGAGATTTGACAGCCCCATTAAGCTGCCCTTTAACTTCACGTGGCCGGTGAGATTCTGCTTTAAACCTGATTGCGATGGTGGGGCAGGAGGGTGGCAAGAGCAGGCTAACCGCGGCGCGCTCATAACCTGTAATGTAAACAAACTACTTTCGCCTTTAGACTTACTTCCAGAACTTCCTTACCAAAAAAAAAAAAAAAAAAAAAGGGGGGGGGGAAGTGAGCGATGAAAAAACTCATCCAGACCAGAAACACTTGGGATAATCAATGTTCTTAAGTGAAATAAAGCAAGGGGCTGGGGGGGGGGGGGGGGGGGGGGGGGGGTTGAAAGTGGAGGTGTGCATCTGTGGTCTGTAGGAGGGAAGCGTGTAGCCGCGGGGAGGGAGCACAAATGAGGGACTCCACAAATGCGGGGCAGGGCAGGGTTGGGGTGCGGTGCGGTTCGGCTCGGCTGTGGTGCGGTGGGGTGCGGGGCTGACGCTGGTTTCTTTCCCGCAGGGAACCTTCTCCCTGATCATCCAGGCCTGGCACGCGCCTGCCAACTACCTGCCGGAAGGTGAATATTGCCGCGCGCCGCCGGCAGGGGGAGCTCGCGCGGCGGGAGCGCCCCCGGGCCCCGTCCCGAGTGCCCGTCCCCCCCACCCCCCATCCCAAAACGGCCCCCCCGCCTCAGCTGTTTATACTATAACTCCACGGCCGGCTTTATCCCACCATCAGGAGCCAGTTCCCCCAACGATATCCATCAGGGGCCGCTTTGATTCTGCCCCAGCCTAATCTCCAACACAATTGCGTTTCCTCCGGTTTATTTTTGGCGTGGGAAAGCGAGGCGGGCTGCGGTGAGAAAGCCGGGAGCTTGCCAGCGAGCCCCGGCCGCCTTTTCCTGTATTTTACACCTTGCTCGAATTCCGCCCTTTGGAAAGGAATAATGGCTTTGGGATGTTTTTCTGAGCGGAGAGGAAAAGGATATTTCACAGCAGCCCTCGCTTTCACAGGCCCCACGGCCGAGCCCCCTCGGCTGGGGTTTGCACACCCCGGTACCCACCTTTTCGTACCCTTCCATACATTCATATCCACGTGCGTGCCTTCGTAATATGTATGTATGAATATATATATATATATATATATATACACACATATATATGTGTGCGTGCGACCGGCGTACCCCGCTCCGCTCGCCCCGGCGGGGTGGTTCGAGGCACTGAGGGTGGCCGCAGCCACTGACCCGCACCCGCTCTCCCGCAGGCTCCCGGCCGCCCCCGGAGGAGTGGCTCATCAGCCAGGTGTCGATCCAGCGGTCGCTGTCGGTGGGCGAGGACTGGTCGCAGGACGTGCACCAGGGCCCACTGACCCAGCTGCGCTACTCCTACCGCGTGGTGTGCAGCGAGAACTACTACGGCGAGAGCTGCTCCCGCCTCTGCAAGCGCCGCGACGACCGGTTCGGGCACTACGTGTGCGCTGCGGACGGCAGCCTGGCCTGCCTGCCCGGCTGGGCCGGCGAGTACTGCACCGACCGTGAGTACCCGCCGCGGCCGCGGGCAGCGGGGCGGGGCGGGACGGGACGGGCAGCACCGCGGGTGTCCGGCGGGGCTGGAAGGCTCACAGAGACCTCCCGTCTCCCGGGTCGTGTTTTCACGCCGATCTCTCCATTCCCTGCCTGGAGAGACAAAGTTGTGCGCTGCGGACTTTGCCCTCTTTGGCTGCAGCCACCAAGTCTGTGCTGCACCTCTGTGAGCCTTAGCAGCAAAGAGCGAGGTAGCAGGAAAGGCAGTCTTGGCTGATAGCTCTAATAGCAATAGCTGTTCCAAGGTAAAAGGCTAGCAGCTTGCTCACGCAAATGCTTCCACCATTCCTGCTGCCAGAGTATATGAGGCAGGTGTTGTGGTGTAGTAGTGGGAATCTTTAATCTGAGCTCAGGGTCTTATTTGGTTTACTCAGTCTTTCATTGGCACTAGCCAAAGCCACCTTCTCTTGCTCCTTTTCTTGCAAGAGTTGCAAGAGTTCATGTTTGTTGCATAAACAGAAAAACTAAAGGACAATTTGTCAAGTGTTGGCTCTCCTTGTTCACTTCCTCCTGCTCCAGAACTCCCTGTACTAAGAAGTTTTAAAACAAAGCTTTGAAAGTGCAAAACTGTTTTTTCAAAGTGTTGCTTTAAAGCTGGCATTTTTCCTTTAGAAGTGTGTTCTGTAGTGCCATGTGTATTTACCTAAACATTTATGCTTTTTTATGTTCTCTTTACAGCCATCTGTCTGGCCGGATGTACTGAACAGAATGGGTATTGCAACAAGCCTGGAGAGTGCATGTGAGTAGATGGCAATTGCAATGTGAACATCAGTTAAAATGTCACCTTGCAATAGAAACTTAAACTCTTCTCCATGTCATTAATGTTTTAATTTGACTTTTCTTTTAGCTGCCGTCCTGGTTGGCAAGGCCGCTACTGTGATGAATGCATACCCCATATAGGCTGCCGTCACGGGACTTGTAAAACACAATGGCAGTGCATATGTGATGAAGGATGGGGTGGCCTCTTCTGCGATCAAGGTTAGTTCTGAAGGTTGCACTTACATCTCTGGACTGGGTCTCCTCAGTACTGTACTAAGGAATCTGACCCACTGGATCTAGAATTAAATTTCTACAAGGTACACGTTCACAGGCATCATTTTATGCCACTGCTGCCTCAGATACAATTCTTGTAGTTGTAGTAATTTTGTTTGAAAACAAGGAAACCTTTTTTGGTAGGTGCAGTTTTTCTCATGCAGAAGAAGTCTTTGTCTTAGAAAAATACCTAACAATCTGGATGAGTATTGAACAGTCGAGTTTTCTGCCTGCTTAAGCTAAGTTTAACTTATTCCCTGCACAACTGTAAAAATTTACTAAACAGTTTCCAGCAGCAGTAAACACCGTCCTTTGGGCCTTCCTTATTTTGCATACAAGGAAGTTAACTCATGTGATAAGTCTGGAGCATGAGAGAAAAATCATGTAAGCAAGAATGAAAAGTACAGGTTCCATTTTAAGGTACACCAGACCACTTCCACCTATTCAACCCACTGAATCACTGAACCATAGCCAGCTGAGCAGTCATGTCCTCAAGGCCATATATGCACTGCTGGCACTGAGATCATTAAGTGCTCAAAGCAGGCCAAGTGTTTTCAGGACAGTTATCGGATTAATATGGCAAAGTCTGAATTAAGCAGGAAAAGTAAAGTTGCAGATTTTTTTTCTGCTTGTAGTTATCTATTAACCAGTTGTCTTCCAATTACTCTATGGTATTTATAGAGATAATAAAGTTTTTCTACTTATGTCCTATGAACTTGTGTGCTTAACCTCTGTCTCAAATTTAAAGGGACAAAAAAAAAAACCAAAAAAACAAACAAAGAAAACCGTCGAGCTTGGCAGGGCATTTGACAGTTTAATCTACTAACATCCATAAAAGGAGAATATGGTAAATAAACAATAAAAGTTTTCTAGTGTTTGTTTAAATCTCCAAGCCAAAACATCTTTTTTTTTCGTCTATGCCTCTCCAGAATGTGCATCAGCGCACACACCTTTTAAAGGTGGGGCTCACTGTTTTAGTGTGTGACATGTTCTACACAAAGTATCTATAGTGCTGTGGCATATCTTCCAGAGAACACACACTAACGAAGTAACTTTTCCAATTTGGCATCTAAATCCCATTGCAGATAATGGTTTTAAGTCCACAAAAGAGAGAGGGTATAGCAAAGCACTAGGAAAGTTAAATTTTTGCCAGCTCTCTCAGAATTCAGAGCTCATGTATTATGGTGATGGATATGGAGAAATATCTAAAATCACTGATAATCTGAGACATCTGATTATTACTGATAATAACCTGGATAATAATCTCCAGTATTCCCGTTGATAGCAAAATGATATGCTTTATTGGAAATTGTGTCTTTTTTATTGACTGCAGTGGGTTTTTTTGCGTATCTTTTCCCATCTGTCAAAGCTGCATTCTCTAACTCCTGGTATCTTTGCAGATCTGAACTACTGCACTCACCACAGACCATGCAAAAACGGAGCAACTTGCATGAACACCGGCCAGGGCAGCTACACGTGTGCGTGCAAACCCGGCTTCACTGGTGTCGACTGCGAACATGAGATCAGCGAGTGTGACAGCAATCCCTGTAGGAATGGCGGTAGTTGCACGGTAGGGGCATTTTAAATGTAAAGTCTTTGTGTGAGGCAAACCCCAGTATACCTTTTCAGAAATGGTTCTGTAACAACATAATGGGAATTTGATAGGACACAGGTTCATTACTGACGCTCACAACTATCATACTGAACCCTTTCCGAGAGGTGTCACGGGAGGAAGTCTGTTACAGGAGGAGATGTATCATCTAGATTAGAACTAGTCAACTGATCCTTAGGTTTCTGTGGCAGCCGTTATGAGAACTTGGCAAGTTCCAAGGTTGGTGAGAGAGCAGATCTGTTAAAAATAAGCTTCTCAAACCACAGTTCATAGAGAGATGCACTAACACTGTATTTTAGTAGCAAATAAAAGAAAACTTCTGCTTTCTGCTGTGGGAGGGTAGTGTCAGACAATATGGGGGCAAGCACCTGAAACTTTCTGTGAAATAGGATCCTGCACTTTTAGATTCCTGAAGTTTAGTATTTCAGCATGTTTTCGGACCCAGTCAATGATAGATTCTTTACCAATGATGGAATGGTAAAGACTGATCGATTATAGATATCAAATGTAATCTGATGCATGTTTAGATTAAAGCTAATGGCACAAGACCCCACCTCCCTTCTCCCAATGCCTTGGACATACGGTACTTGGAAAGAAGAAACAGTTTAGTTATGACCTAAGCGGTGGGACTTACCCAAGCCAAAGCAACTTAAACCCTTGTAAAATAAAGAAGGGCTCTCATGGTGAGAATAAATAGCCTGATCACAGCTGCGTAGGTCAACAACACACACCATTCTGCTCTGGGAGGACCTCAGGGATCCCATTAGACAGCAGTAGTGTTAGCAGTGTTTTTGTCTAGCTGCCTGTAGGCTCCCTACAACTACATCTGCTCTGTGTGTGTAGCTGCATGATTACTCCTGTATGCTGAGTACGGATGATTCACAGCTCCAGCCCTCACAGTCCAGCCTGCAGTTGTTTACTTTCCAAATGTTACTTTTGCCACATCAGGCCGTGCATGAGAAGGGACTGAACAGCACTTGCAGCCAGCCAAAAACGAGCATGCAAGCAGCTATCGTTTGGTGTCATTAAATAACAGTGGCGTAATGTTGTGTTTTGCAGGACATGGAGAATGGTTATCGCTGCCTGTGCCCCCCTGGCTACTATGGCACTCACTGTGAGCACAGCGCTTTGACGTGCATAGATTCTCCGTGCTTTAATGGTGGCACATGTTTGGAAAAAGAACAAGGGGCCAGCTACAGTTGCGTTTGCCCTTTTGGCTTCACGGGGTCAAATTGTGAAAAAAAAGTAGACAGGTGCACAAGCAACCCCTGCGCAAATGGTGAGTCTTTCTATCAAAAAATCTCATGTCCCTGACTCATTTGTGCTTTTCAGTGCAGAAGTGATAGAAATCCAATCTGACCTCTACTCTTCCTCTAGTACATTAGTCCCTCTCCCCCACTGTATTCCACATCTACCCTAATTTTAGTCTCTTGCTGGTTGCAGGGGCGGGGGGGGGGGGCTTTCACTGGCGTTTTCTGTGCAACAAAACAATGCACAAGGTTTATCGTGTGATAGGGAAGATGGCAGAATTAAATGATTACATATGTAGAAGGGGCATAATTTTAAGGCATCGTGATACAATTAGAGAACATAGAATGGACTTTTAGATGTGCAGTTGTTTTGTAAAATAACTTTGCTCTTCTTGAGGTAGTATAAAATGCTGACCAGGAAGAGGATAAGATTTCCAAATGAAGTCCATGCAGACTAATTTTTATTTTACTGTTTTTTCCTCAGATGGTAGTTGCTTTTACCTTGGGCAGATTCGTGTGTGTCGTTGTCGGGCTGGTTTCTCTGGTCAGAAATGTGAGATAAACATCAATGATTGTGCCAGAAACCCGTGTTCCAATGGGGGGACTTGTCATGACCTAATCAACGATTACACCTGCACATGTTTGCCAGGCTACAGTGGCAGGAACTGTGACATCAAAACCCGAGATGAATGTGCTTCTGGGCCATGTGAGAATGGAGGCACATGCTACAGTGGACTTTACAGTGCCAACTTTGTCTGCTACTGTCCTTCTGGCTTCATGGGTAACCGCTGCGAATTGCCAGTTTATTCAGTGCCCGTTACACTTCCTCCTAAACCAGTCCCCTGGATTGCTATATCCATGGGGGTGGGTCTGGTGGCTTTGCTCATACTGTTCTGCATGATAGCAATGGTCATCAGGCAGATGAGGATGCACCCAGAGCAGGAGTTGGAGACAATGAACAACCTTTCTGACTTCCAGAAGGACAATCTCATTCCAGCTTCCCAGCTCAAAAACACCAATAAAAATAAAGACCTTGAAGTGGACTGTGGGCTGGAGAAATCAAACTACAAACCCAAGAATCATAAACTGGACTACAATCTGGTAAAAGACCTGACGAGTAGAGGGACACCAGAAGATAAATATTACAAAAGTGAAAAGTGTTTAGGAGAGAAGTCTCCTCTCCGACTACACAGGTGAGAATATGGTCTTCCTTCTATTCTTTCCTAAAGCCACTCATCTTCATACCAGTGTAGGAGCAGATGAGAATAGGTGGAAAGATAAACCTCAAGCAGATCATACACAACACAAAACAGAGTAAAACTAGGAATCTTCAAACTGGCCTATGTGTGCCACAGCCAAGTGGTGTCCTTAGCTAAGTCAGTTAAATGGAGTGTTTGTGCAAGGTGCTGCTAGTGTGCGTACTGTAAATGGACTGGGAGTGGCTAGGTCACTGGTGAAATTAAGAAGTGTCTTTTCTTCCTCAATAGATCTTGGAAGAACAACAGTTAAGGCATACAGTGATTAAAAATGGAAGGCAAGGTGATCTGCTTACTAAGAAGAATGGTAGAATTAAAATAATTACTCCTTTTTGAAAAGAGAAAAGGGCTGGTATTCACTGGCTTATCAGTCTTTTGATTCATGTACTGAAGGTCTTACCTAGTATCTGCATGTGGCTGTTACCCTGAGGGCTCTGAGGAGCTCTGTTAGGTTGGACATGGCAGAAGCAGAGGAAGGCAGTAACTATTCCTTACTTCCACTTCTCTACTATAATCTCCTGACAGCATACAGAAAGCGTGAAACTTGATCCTCTGCACTTCCCTCCCACACCTTCATGGCTATCTCATTCCACCACTCCATATTCATGGTAGATTTTGAGAGTCAGGCTTGTTACTAGTCAACTAATGTTCTTTCCTCTCTGCCCTGCCTTAGTGAAAAACCGGAATGCAGGATATCGGCGATATGCTCTCCGAGGGACTCAATGTACCAATCTGTCTTTGTGATAACAGAAGAAAGAAATGAGTGCATCATAGCCACAGAGGTAAGTAAGTGCAGAGGTGGATAGGCATAAATTTACAAAGTAAAGGGGTAAATTATTCTCTAGTATTGTATCTGAGAAAGTTACTCTATTTCCCAGGATCATGATGTTCCCAGCATTCCCATCTCATCTTCTGTGGCCCACACAGAGCATACATAAGGGAAAATAAAGAAATTAGCATCTCTGATTTTACTGAACCAGAGATTTTGATCTTAGATTGGTCAGTGGTAGATGAAAACACAGAACATCAGCCCATAAAAATTCAGCACATTGTAGGATTGTTTCCTCTTAAATAAGTGGTCAGAAAAAATGAAAATAATAATTGTTCTTAGGCTCACTGATGTAAAGCCATGCTTTTCCCTGTAACTAGAATGGATAATCTGTGGTCTGTGGAAACAGTCAAAGGTATAGATTTCCATCAGAAAATTGAAGGTAGCTGAATGTATTAGTGGATAGGCATAACAGCCATTTAGGAAGTCTGTAATGAGGTAATTTCAATCTCTCAGCGTTTAAGCTCCAGCTAAATACTCTCTAACAGAAGTTAAGGCTGTTATTGATAAACACATCTAGATCTTTATGTTTTATTAAGAAGTTGGATGCACAAAAAAAGGAAGGGCCTACCACTGAACTTTAAAGACTTTAAAAAGCTACTGAGGAACCAACTAGTTCCTTAACAATTACAGACCCTTTGGAAAAAGTCTCAGTGGAAGTTAACGACAATGTGACGTTTACCAATACCTGCTTTCTTTGGTGTAGCCTTCTTTAGAACTAGTTTCAGACCACAGGAAAGAGAAGCTTGCTGTGCCATACAGCAGTGATCTGTGAAGTCAGATCTGCAGGATTCTGTCTCCCTTTCCAGGGTGGATATCAGATTTCCCCTTGAAAGCAAGCTGGAACACAAGTCAACCAACAATATTAAAAGTTTAAGACTAAGTGAAAGGATTTTCAAAGATACAAATGACAGCTAGACGCTTCATTCCCATTAACTGACCTAAATACTATATCTTCCTTTAAAGATCTTTCTGACTGAAGCTAGGCTCCTAAATTTACATCAGGCATCTCCAGAAAGTGTTTTTATTTTCCGAATGACAGCCTCTGAAACCTCTCTCCACATCTTTCAGGCTTAATGCTTCCAAATACAAGCTGTTTAACTATACCATGTACTTTTTACAGAGCCCTAATATCAAGCACCTATATTTGTAAGCATTCTTCCCCTCGGTCCAGGTAGAGAGATCACTCTCAGACAGATGATTATTTTTTTTTTGCGCTGCTGATTCTTTGTCTCTGGACCCAGCTGAAAACATTGACCACTGAAGGTTAAACTTCAGTAACGTCTGATTTAAATTGCTTTGGTTTGCCGTACTTGAATTACAGTTTGTTAGCTCTTTACTACTCTGTATACTGTGATTCCTTCTCATTCATTCCTGGTGTTATTTTGTATCCTGACAGGTATAAGACTGAAGATCGGTCCATTTGCACCTCAGATTTGGTAATGCCAGTAGATGGATGTTCCTGCTGCATTGTTTACAATTCAGAACTGGATTGGACTGTTTTTAATTACATGCAACTTGCTGCTCTCAGGCGGAGGATGGAACTGGGTGAACTGGACAGACTGTGAATTTCCTGAAAGATGCAATACACCTTTTTGTTCTTACTGCCCTTGTTTGAAGTTTGATACCAGAAATCTCATTGGCTTTAGAAAAGGGGAGGCAGAGGGAAGAGAGAGGTTAAAAAAGTTGGTGTTTTAAAAGATGCTGAGGCCAGTTCCTCATGGACAGACCCCTGGCTTTCCAGAACTCTGATTATGGGAGGTGCTGGTAGAGAGGAGGCACATAACAGTCACAGATGTTGCCATGGAAGGTGCGAAGCAAGACACATTGCTATGCAGATAATGGATACAATATAAACGAGGTCTCCATTTTTTTCTGGGTTTAAAAGTGCCTAAAATGTGTCAAGAGAATCTAACAAACCCAAACAGACACTTGACTGCTGTTTCTGCAGTTACCTGGAGAGTACTGGGCAGGGGTGGCTGATACTTCCTGCTACACATCTATTTGCATCCCCTCACTCCTGCTGCATGTACTGGAGACTGTGTAAGGAGCAAGAGGAGGAAGGAAAGAAGAATACTAAATTTACATGTCATCTCATTTGGTGATGCTTTGGAGAACTGTTTGACTCAAGCCACCCTGTGGGACATGATTTTTGTGACGTTGTGATAAGGAATGTGTACTGCCTCTTCCCCAGTGATGAGGAGGAGACATGATCCCAGCTCTATAAAAAGCCTTACAAATGCGTTTAAAATCAATCAGCTCCTAGAACCTTTATGTGCTGAGCTGTCTCAGCTGTTTTCATGCCCTTTGCACTACCAGTGATTGTGAATAGACATTACTTCTCTTCTTCTCCTTCCTCGTTCTCTCCCCCTCTGCCTTATTTTGACACAAATTTGGGGGTTTATGTTGCGTTTCTGAATTAGGTGCCACATTTTACTGCAAATAGTCTCGAAATCGCAGCTGTTACTTTCTGAAGAAGCAGCAGCAGTGTGACACAACCCACCTCCCCCCCNGTTCTAGGCTCATCCTGTTTCTCTCATACCCGCCCACAGCTACATGGAAAAGGGGAAGCCTGTCCCTGGAAACCAGAGGTGTGCCGAAGCTTTTTTCTTATATACATATTTACAGCAATATTACCAGACACTCCAGTGGAAAGTGCTGTGACTTTAGTGAACGAGACCATGGCATGGGGCAGAATGAGGAGGGAGAAAAACCATCTCTTCAAAGAAACCTGGACTGTGCTATCTCTCGGACAGTGACATTCCTGCCCTTGTAAAGCCTGTTGTTGGACTAGCCCATCTACTCCCTTGAACTGTGCAGACAAGACCCCTTCATATTGTCCACTACTGACCTTCTGCTCTGACCACGTAGGACCACTTTGAAGATGACCTTCAGAAATCAATAATATGGGTTTTAGTTTGTCTGTTTGTAGTTTATTTTGAAGACTAGTATTTCAGTAATTTAAAGAAAATCAGAAGCACTGAACTTTCTACGTTTTATAACATTATTTTGTATATAATGTATATTTATAATCAAAACAGAAGTGTAAATATGTTTATTACTTCTCATGTAATGTTTTGAATGTGATGACAAAGTTTGAATTTTATTTTTTTTTCAAGCAATGAAAATACTTTCCTGCTACTACAAAGTTTATTGTGGTTTGTCCTTTTACACCTGTTGTTCTGTGACGGCCAAAGTTAGTGATGCCCCCCCTAGAAGTAAGCTCGCTTGCCTGCTCCCTGCACTCGGGCCTACATTTACATCTTGCACAGCAGCTGATGTCAGCTGCTTTTTATAAAATGGTTATACTGTTAACTGATGTCAGCGAAGTTGTTCATCTGAGTGGCATTCATCTGACATTTTGAAATGTTATACATATTTATATTGTGATAGATCATATTTAAATTACATATATCCATATATATATTCTCTTGCTATAGCGTGGGACTGAACTGTCAGGAAAGCTATTTTTATTAATGCTTCACTCTTCCTATCCCGTGACAACTCATGGCATGGAAGATACAGATTTAATACCATTTCGAAGTGGCTTAATAAATGTGCTGGCTTGGGGTTTTACAGAACAAAATACAATTACATCTTTTCCAATCTCATTTCTTTCAATACTTTCAGTAAGATCCAAACCTTGTCCTTAGGTTACTCTAGCACAGCATCTACGTCTACACTTGTAAGATTTTTTCCTTGTTTGTTTGATTGCAAGGGGTAAGATTTGTCTTTCACTTGTGGGATTAGGAGGAATTTCAAGCTTTCTCCTCCTGAGTTCCCCGTGCTACGCCAGCAGCTGTGTCCTCCCAGGGCATCACAAAGTCATTACCTGCCACCGCCCTTTTGGAGGGCATTTCCACCAAAAAAAAGTGCAAAAAGCACACTTGTATAAACACTCCTAGCAGGTTTAGTAGCCTTTGAAGTGTACACATTTATAGACAATTAAATCTTTCCCTAGGTTAGCTAGGTGCAATACAGCCAACATCTGAGTGCAAAACTATAAGAACAGGAAACTACTGCTGCTCTATTTTAAAACCAGACTTTTTGTTGTAGTTGACAAAATGCCAAAAAAGCCTCTGAATATTGGATGCCTTTTCTATCTTTCCCCAGAATAAAATCTAATCAAAATTTGCTAGGTTTTTTTTAATACATAATTAAAAATCCATTGGCACTAAAAAAGCACCATAACAAATTATTTTCACTTTGTCATTAAAATATTGCACATAATGATTCGTAAGGGTCCTTCTACGCATATTATTAAGGTTACTATTAAATACTATTTACTTTGGATGGCTTTGTTTCTACCTCTTTAGTCCTTTTCATAACGAAATTAATATCCCAGCCAATATCCCCAGCTACCATAAAAAATAAATTTAAGATGAAACTCAGAAATAAGAAGCCACCTCCCCCTCCCAAAACATTCACCCTGTAGAGCAAATTATGAAAAACAAGCCATTGACAAAAAGCCGAGCAGATGCTCCCTGCTTGCAGTCCTTCCTCGGCAATGTGAAATAAACCCAACAGATGCCTCTCTTAATTGAGCACATGGATTACATACACACATGCACTCTGTCCTGCTTAAAACAAAACACACACAAAAATCAAACAGGAAAATAGACAGAGAACTCTTCCCAAAGCCTAGGCAAGCAGGAATGCAAAGACCAAAAAAGACTCGGCTTTTCCTGCTCAAAACATGACAGGAAACTGTATCCATAGACAGAAGGGAGTTGAAATCCATTAAAACCTGTGGACCTGATTATGTAGATCCCATGGGGTAAAGCAGGTACAACATATGCCTTTGTGTATCCACACAGGAGAGAGGAAAAAAAAAAAAAAGCATCATCTTACAAGGAAATCTGTGAATATTTACTGGAGGCAGTACTGTGAGATGCAGCTACTGGAATAGATCACAGATACTACACAGGAAAAACAGGAGCAGTGCCTACTTCCGCACAGGAGGAGATGGAAAGCATATGTGAATCTGTGCACGTGAGCACATCCCCAAGTCCTTGCCAAAGAAACTACAAGCAAATTAGTTGAACATATAATATGACCTGGATTCAACCTACATCTTTGGCCAGAAACTTCCTTACTAAGGGCCACTGTACACTGACTGCTCACCAGCCTGGCTCTCCCCAGCTAAGCACATCCCTGAGCCACAATGTATGAATCACTAGGAGGAGCTGAGGTCCTTCTGACTTCAAAGACTCAGCCTGAATTTCAGAGATTTCTCTTGAGGACCACAGATTATGTCAGGACCGTAAACATACTAACAAACAGTGCCTTTTCTATTCACAAGCTTATAGAGTTCTCAGACCTGACTGTACCATTCATTTCTTTCAGCAAAGTTTGCGGTAACTATGGCAAGATTATGGATTTGGCTCAACGACTGCACCGAAACTTGGCTTTCAGTTTTAAAAGAGTGCACAAATTCACTTAAAAGCCATGTGACAAAACAACTGCCAAACATGACAAACTCCTGCCTCCGAGCAGGAGTTCATGTTTCCTTGTGTTAATCCTGATACAAACCATTCCAAAGCCATGCAGAGCCCCTCAGTCTAAGTGATTTCAAAGCTGGAGTGAGTGAGAAGGGTGCTGCTTCGTGCAGTGCTTCGCCTGAGCTGTTCCATGTTTGGCTCCAGCCCTATATCACTTAGCCCTTTAAAGACTCTGCTGATGAGGGGAGACAAATGCCGGGAATAAACCCGTAGCTATAGCACCCACTGCTGCTTAGACAACGTGCAGCAAGACACGGCACAGGGCACAGAGTTCACATACGTTAGTGTAGCGAGAGATGCTTCTAGAACTTAAGGTTGATACAGAATGTGTCTAAAATGGGCTAAAATGCAGAATGCATTTATTATGCACAGTATTTGTCCAGCAACAGCTTTCAGCCTTGAAAGAGCTGCTGAGAAAGCCTAAGTTAGTTTTGTGCAATTGCAACCACCTCGTCCAACAGATGAAACCATCTCTGTAAAACCACATATCAAATATTTTTGTTGCTCCTCAGTTTTTTTTCATTAATTCATGCTAAAATGAGAAAGGTACAGTAGGTCACTAAAAAACCTGCACTACAGAGGCTTAAAGTGACAGTTACTTATCTATGTTTGCCTGTCATTCCCTTATCTCACACACCTGACCCATAAATACACATCGGTTTTACGCAGCAAGTA